AAAAAAAAATAGCACGTCAGATTTGCAGGAAGTTGGTTTTCAGTTCACCTACTTGATTTGGGAAAATTTATGTTATAAAGAGAGAGAGAATGAGAGCTCACCTGAAAGGGGCTCTGTGGATTGATAGGCAAGAAAGACGTCGATAATCATACCAGTTTAAAAATCTTTAAGTTGTGAAAGAAAACCCCAGCTCAACTGGATAAATAAACACAAAAGCTATTTAAACATGATTGGAATGCATTGAAAATTTCAATGGAAGTGCTCAGTTCAGGTAATATCTCACTCAGCTGCTCAGAATACATCACCATGGAATGGGTGCCTCCTCCCCTTATCAGTCTATCTTCTAAGGTGCTGGAAATGATCCCTTTAGCCTCAGGATCCCGTGGGGTCCATCCTCTGCACACCATCACTGGCAGATTCTGGCTTCCCCAGCAGCACTCCTATATGGCAGGTACCAGAAGAGAGACTAGCTTCCTCCTGAATGTTCCAGAATGATGTCAGTATAACCAGCTCATAGAGGGAGACATATGGTTCAGGGGAGGAAAAATAAATAAGAGGAGACTATTGCATTGACTTGAATGAAAGCCTCAGGACTAAGTGTAGAAGAGAAGACTAGTGTCAAGATAGCGAATAATGAAAAGTGGAAAGATATCAGCACGGAAGGAGAAAAGCTTGGAACCTTAGGACAGAAAGGCAGTGCAACATTAAAACAAGTGGAATGAAGACTTTCTGTGGGGGTTTCTAGACCATAAAGGAAGAACACTGGTGGAGCAGATAGTATTTATCAAACTACTCAGACACCTCGTAAATATTTATCCGTGTAGTCACATTATTTTTGTTTTTTTCACAGCATCTCATTACGTAAAAATTCACAATCTAGTTGAAGAGGAACTGTTTGCTAGGCCTGCTGTGATTCGAAATAACATTTGTAAGAAGTGGAAACGCTTCTATATGTTACGTTGTTAATGAATTTTGAATGTCGATTCCCAACACAGTACATGGAATTCCCACTCTGGTTTTCTGTAGACAGACAGCCTTTGTTCAAGTTACCAGGTTTGAAATTTCTCAAATTCTAAAAAAAAAAAGAGAAATTGGAAGATTTTTTTCCAAATGTAAAAGCTAAACAAAACAAAACAAACAAACAAAACCCATCCTTTGAAACGTAAAATGTATTTATGTTTCCGTTCTTGCCTTCTCCCACCCTCCCTCCTGGGTTTATGAAGGGCAATGCTGTGATATATGCATCTTGTCTATGCTATAGACACATAGTCTCTGGATCTTCATTTCAAAAGGAACTTTGCTTTTAAAAAGAGTGTTTATCCCTGTGGTTTCCAATCTGCTAGTGGTTCCAGATTAACTTAGTGGCTCACACGCAGCATTAATAAAATGAAACAGGCCTGAAGATAATGAAACAGATCCGTGTCTTGTGCAGAGCAAGTTATTTTGTGAACCTTTTTTTCATGTATGTGAGTGTGTGTTCTGGGTCACAACACAAAGGGTATTTTTTTACTATGGGATGTGTTAGAAAGGTTTGAGAAATGCTGCTGGAAAAGATAGTTGCTTTAGACTCAGGATTCTTAGGAAGTATTTCATTCTTAGGTGTATTGAAAAGCAGATGGGACTGGGAACGGTGAGGTGTGGGTTCGGTGCCAGCTCTGCCATAAATAAGCTTATGGAAGTTGTTCTTTCTGCCTGTGCCTCTACTTTCTTACCTATGAAATTGGATGTGATGGGGCACATGATTTTAGGTGTATAGAATTCTTTTAACTCTTTATTCCAACTAAAATGAGAAGCTAATTAAGCCCAGGCACTCCAGTTTACAGATTATGAAATGGATGTCCAGCAGGTTTACAAAACCTAAAACTTCCTACCTTGTTATAGCAGATCAGGTGAGCTTAAAAAAAACCAAAAATCAGGTCACATTC